AAGTCCGGGCACGAAGGGCCCAGCGCCGCCGCCCCCAGGAACTTCTCGTACCTGCGGCGGCGCCGAGGCAGCGAGAGGGGGCGGGGGAGGCCATAAGAATTTCTGAGGGCAAACCTACCCCTTCCAGCACCGCCCCCAGCCATACCCCGCGCCTCGTACCCCAGGGCCTGCAGGTCCCGCGCCACAGCGGCCTCCTCCCCCTCCATAGAAACGGCGCCTCTTCGCCAGGCGCACGCCCCCTGCGGGTCCGTGGGAGGCCCCGCCCCAGGAGCGGCGTGCGCACCGAGGCGGAACCCGCCGCAGGCCCGCCCGCGCCGAAGCTTAGAGCGCCGCCCTCGCGATAGCTAATCTCTGCCCGGGGAACACTCCCGGCTCTGAAAACCCTGAGCGTGAATTCAGGATCGCGGCCGTCGCGACGGGCCAGCGGGTGTCGCTACTGCTGCAACGTGGAAGTACCTTCGATTTTCTTTTCCTCAGCCTCCCTCAAATATCCTCTGCTCTTAAAGCAACCTAGACCTAGTGTTCTTACAACTCCGCTCCAAGTCCAGAACTTATTTCCTCCTTCCCTGCTTAGGGTTGGAGTTACGTCGGGGACCCAGAAAGCAGAGCTTACAATTCACACCCCATCCCCAACAGAGGCCCTCCTCGTGGATCACAGTGCGCCTGTCACGCCTTCACGCGTCTGTCTCCCAGGCCTTGGAGAGAGGAGCAGGTGCAACATGCCACCGTGATTGAAGTTACACCCTAGGAGTAAGGCCAACAAGGGCTGGGATATGACTCCACCACTCACCGCATGTGTCCCTGCCAAGTTCCTTTCTGTCCTATAATGGGGATAATTAACCTCTTACAGTTGTGAGGGCTGGAGTCCTGTATGTAAGTGCTTAGTGGACACATAGGGTGGTACTCAATAACATATTGAGCATTTCCTGTGTGTCACTGGCCAATAACCTTATTCCCATCTGACAGGTTCAGAGAGGGTAAGTCATACTGAATGTGTGGTGGTGTCAGAACTCAAATTCAGATCTCATTCCAAAGTCACACTTTTAACCACTTAACCTACTACTACTGCTACTGTCTTGTTGCTGTTGTTAAAATTGTTCCAGATTTAATCTCTTATCGGCTCTTATTCCCCAGTAGTTCCTAGATAATTCTGCTGGGAGTAGGAGTGGGCTAAGTGTTGAGGCTCAGGGACAAACAAAGGCCAGGACTTCCTCCTCAGGGGCAGAGCCTACCCTTAACCTGGTTCCATCTTAGTCCTGTCTACCTCAAGACCGGGTCCTCAGGCCTTCCGTTGACCTTAATAAAACATTAAAAATTGCCCAGGCCAAAATCTTGGAGTCATAACCTTGACTCTTTATATAGCAAACTCCATATCTAAATTTGTGAACTCTACCTTCAAAACACTTCTCGCCACCTCCGCTGCTCTCACCGTGGCCCTGTGCACCATTGTCTCCCCCAGGACCATTACATAAGTCTCCTCCCTGTCTCCCTCCTCAGTGTCTGTTCCCCACAGGCAGCCAGGGGGCACCTGTGAACACCTGTCAGGTCACATCCCTCCCATGCTTGGAGCCTTCCCATAGCTCCACCTCAGGGTGAACACCAAAGTCCATGCAACAGCTTGCAGGCCCCACAGATCTGCCCTCATCTCCTAAGCACCTTCCTTCTTGCTTCCTCCCCTCCAGATACTCCAGCTCCCTTGATGTCCCTCAGACTTACCAGACATGCTCCTCCCTCACGGCTTTTCCCTGACTCTTCCCTTTACTTGCAAAGCTCTTCCCCACCCCACCCTACCCCAAGATATCCACAAAACTCCCTCAGGGCTTTATTCAAATGCTCTTCAATGAGGCATAACCTAATTACCCTGGCTAAAACAGACTTCCTCTCTCATCTCCACATTTTCTCTATGATACATATCATTTATAGCATCATTTGTTTGTATCCTTCACTATAAAGTTCATAAGCAACTTGTGGGAAATTTTTGTGTTCTGTTCACTGCTTTATCTCCAGAGCCTAAAACAGGGCTTGGCATATAATGGACATTCCATAAATGCACTTGATGGAATGTATAAACTCAGCTGGAGGGTCTGCTTGGGACTAAAGGACATGAAAGAGAAGAGAATTGGGTAGGACACTGCTTTGGCACTTCAGGAAGGTGAGTGGATGGGGCACATCAATGCCAATAAAGAACACAGGCTGAGATTTTGTCGAAGACATTTCTTGGAGCGAATATTTCATGCCCCCTCCCCCGATGACAAGGCTGGGTCTTTGGCTCCCCCACCACTTCAGCCGGCACTGACAATAACAATATTGAGGTCACAGACTGGCTTGGAATCAAGATCAGGAAGATAAATGTCAGGGTGCCTCCCCTAAGTCTGGGGGCCAAGTATCCAATCTGAGGGGCAAGCAGCTGGAAAATTGGGCCTGGGGGCTCCAGGGTGTGAGGTCTTCCTGGCTCCCAGGGTCAGCCCTCCATGCACCCGATTTTGGGGTGATGAAGAGAATTCATGGATCAGAGGTGGGTATCATCAGGAAGCGGGACTGGGAGACCTGGGAGAGGTGGTGCTGAGGGAACCTTCCCCCAGCCCCCACCGTTTCATTCGCAGATCCCACAGCACCTTACAGCACTCTGGTCCCCTGTCCCACCCCTCCCCAAAACGAGGTAGGTTAAGAATGGAGCTTCCCCCCGCCCACCACGGAAGGGAGGAGACCGAGGCACAGAGAGGGGGATGGGGACCCAGGGTGCCCCAGCCCCCAGTCCCTCTGCCCTCAGCTCTGGTGGGTCTGACAGTGATGAGAGCCGGGCAGAGTGGGGATGAAAGGGACACCCCCATTTTTTCTCACCCATCCCAGGGTCTGGTTGGGAGAGCTGAATCTCACAGGTTTCAGATGTAATAAATAGTTAATCATTTAAAGTGACAGAAGGCTCTATCTCTCCAGCCCCCTTGACCTATTCCTTGAACCCCAACAAGGCCACCCAAGTCTGGGTATTGAAGAAAGGTTAAGTGCACATTTCCAGATGCTTGGGACCAGATGCAGGTCCCAAGCCCATACAACATTGAGGTGGTCTTGCTCCAAGACCTTGACCCCTCCACCCCTATTCAGGTCATCAGATCTGAGGGATCCTGGAAGTCCCATTCCACTCAGGGGAAAGAGACTGTGGCATCCCCCTTTTCCTCAAGGGGGAGAAGGGGTCTCAGAGGGCCATGAAACAGGCTTTCAAACTTCCTGAAGCAACCCTCAACTCTGAGATGCAAGAGAAGGGGTTAATGGAGGGCAAAACGTAAAAATTTTGGACTAGGGCTAGGACTCAAGGTTGGGCTTGGGAAAGAGTCTGCAAGGCTGGGGAGAGAGTGTGTGTGCACCAATAGAGCCATAGCCCCAACAGTGCCTTTGTGCAACTTGGAAAAAGGCACACCTTCCTCTGAGAGCATAGTGTGGCCAGCAGAGAGTAGTGCAAATTCCAGCCCACTCACCACCTCGGCCATGTGCCTTTGGTTAGGGAACAGCCTGGACAATCATCTATGGCAATGTTGGGTCCTAGAGATGAGAGTGGGGAGACTCTCAGTTCCAGGAACTCTCAGTCCTGGAATCCAAAACCGTAAGCTCAAAATGGTAGGGGGTTATCCCCTCACTCTGTGGGATGCTGGGGACATGGGCGGGGGCCCTTAGAACTGGAACTCCAGAGTCCGGGATCTTGGGGTCTGAGAGGCCTATGGACAGCAGAATGTAAGGGGTGGCAGGTCACAGGGAATATCAGACTAGAGAGGTTTGAGTCCAAAGAAATCAGACCCAAGAGTGCTAGGGCCCTGGGGCACCTCAAACCTGTCTCTGGTATGGAGGGACCAAGGTCTTGGGTCAGGGATAATCCCAATGCTGTGTAGGCTTGAGCCCTGAATTTGAAAGGTCAGTGGCACCTTGGGGTCTTGGATTCAGTGCTCCTAAAGCACCTTAGGGTCACTTAGGGTCTGGGAACCAAGGAGACCGAGGTCAGGGTTGTCATGAACATCCCATCCACTGGGAGCTGGGCTTCCAGCCTTTAGGAGATTGGGGGTCTATAGGTAAAAAGAAGCCAAAGATTCCAGGGTATTCTGGGGCTTGCAATCCAAGTCTAAGAGGGCTATCTAAGGATTTGGGACCAGTGTCTTTGGCCCTGAGATGTTGGTGGCCTTCAGTCCTAATCCGAAAGTATTAGGCACCTCAGCATCCTATATATGGAGTTCAAAGCTCCTGGGAACATTGGCTGGGGGAATGGGGAGTCTACAGTGGTCCTTGATTCCTGGATCCCAGAGCATCTTGGAGTCTGATATCTGGAGGGGGAGAGGTTGAGACTCTGAGATGGGTCTCCCAAGCCATTTTGGTTAGAGAACTTCTATTTGAGTATATCCTAGAACTCAGAGCATTTTAAGAGCGCTCAGTGTCTCGGGGGTCCTAGGGCTAGAAGAACACCTCAGATACAAACGTCCCAAATTTTAGGTGAGCATTCAGGAACCATTTGGGATGCTTCTGGGCCCTGTGATCTCAAGATCTGGGAGTAATTACATACAGGCAGGGTCAGATATTTGAAACTCCTAATTCTGGGGCTGTAATCTGAGGGTTCAGTCAGGGTTCTTTCAGGGCCCTGCGGCCGTCAGGACTCTGTGTGCTCCCAGGCCTGCCTGAGGTGCGGAGCCTGGGGATGACTGGAGTCTCCTCAGCCTGGGCCATGGCAGAAGGGGGACAGCAGGATGAGTACGCCACAACTCAGGGTGCCTGGGACTTCTTGGGTAGACAGCTCAATGAAGCCGGGCCTGGGATCCCTCAATTCTAGATTTGGGGTCCGGGTTCCAAGTCTGGGGCCTCTCAATCCAAACTCGAGCTCCAAGTTCCAGGTGTGCCTAGGTTTAGGTCTGGGGTCCGAACGGAGCCCAGGATCCTGGACCCTCCATTTTGGGTCCTCGTTCTGGGGACCAGATCCACCAAGCCATCCTCACCGTGCTGCCTCCTCGTGGCGACCCCCGCAGCCCGCGCAGCCGCATCGCGCTGCAACCCAGTGGCAGGCACGCAGGGGTGCGTAGCAGCAGAGGCAGGGCACTGCCAGGGAGAGTGCGGCCAGCGCAGCCCAGCGCGCAGCAGGGCGTGGGTGGCCCGGCTCGCAGGCGCACGGGTCCGAGAAGTCGCCCTCGGCGTCCGACAGGCAGTGGTAGAGCAAGCTCTCGGCGCACCACAGGCAGCTGAGGCGGCGCACCAGCAGGCGGCCCGGGTCTGGGGCCTCCGCGCAGCGGCCGCCACG